CAGCCATTAGCATTTCTCACAATCTAGTACGGCATGATCACGCCAAACACGTTGAGAAAGACAGACACTTCATTAAGGAAAAACTAAAGTCTTAAGAAATTTGTGTTCGTCTGTGTCATCTAGTAGCCAACTAACGAATTTCCTCAAAAAAAAAAACATTCATTGACCACTATTTGATGATTTCAAGTTCAAGTTGAACATGACTGACATCTATGCTTCAACTTGAGGGCAGTAATAGAATATTTTAATGGCTAGTAATAGTCATAATTTAACTCTGATTATTCTGAGTTATTTCCTTTGATTTCCTTCTTTTTTTTTTTAGTATATTCAGTTTTATTTATTCCTCTTTCTATCATACTCTAAGTTTAGTTTTTCCCTTTTTAGTTGATCTTGTAATGGGTATATATACCCCTCTTTGTATCAATAAAAAGTATTTTAGGTTCTATTCTAACATAACTAAATCTCGAGGAGGTAGAAATTTAAAAAAAAAATCAATTAGAGAAAAACCCTACAGATTTGGTAAAATAATATAAGAAATAAATAATTTATATACTTAATTTTATAGACTTTTGTATGTTAAGTGTGTCAAAAGCACTTGACATTGCCACTGAAATTATTGCATTTATTATATAATCTGTTGTTACAAGTAGTTTTAAGAAATTTTATGATACTTAAATTTTACTATTCTTTCATAAAATGAAGCATAATAAAAATACCGACAATATAAATTTTTGCATATCATGTTTTATCATGATACACGTAAATACAGGTGACTGGTATAGGTGTATAACAGTGTCAAGCATTTTAAATAGACTTGTGATAATGATGTTATAAGCAAAAAAAAAAATCTAGAAATGCCATGTTATATGAGGATAAGTCGGCAAATGATGATGATGGCCTACATAAAAAAGGCAAAAGACCTAATAAAATAATCCTCCCTTGCTGTCAAAAATAGAAAGTCCAGCCTTAAATTGAAGGTCATTGATAAATGACTAACCAATGGACTAGATGACAAAATATTGTTAGCCAAGGCCAATAGGAACCACGTGATATTCTTAAGACTGAATAGGAAAGCAAAAAGGAATGTGAAAGAAAACAAGTAATGCGTTATATGTTTGACATTTAAAAAATGAATTTTATATCTTTGCAGACAAATATATTTAGTTCTTATGATTATCTTTTACTTATGTGAATATAAACGCTTATTTTGATTAAATTTTGATAAAATAGAATAGTCATTTTTATAATTAAAAATGTTCAGATTAATAAAAAAATCTAGCATGAATGTTATTATTTTCTTTCCCAGTATTTTGAATCATATATTAGAATTAATTATCACATTGAGTTTTTAAATCATCAGATTACATAGATTGTTTTTCAATCAAGAGAAAAGAGCAGGTGATGTCGTAGTCAAGTAATTTTGTTTGTATCCTACAACCTTTATGCATGTTTTTTGATGTATCATAGACAAAAGATGCTCGTTATGTAAATTAAAGTCATCTTACAAGTATCGCTCTTTAACAAAAGTTCATAAACTCTATACTATATTTTTGATAATTTAAATAATGCAAATTTCTCTTATAGCAATTATGATAAGAATGTATCAAGATGATTATGAAACTATAAATGAAGTTTTGTGCAATCTAGACTGTAGTCAAGACAGACTAATTTCTACCCACTCGATCCAAATTGGTGAAACCAGAATAGGTGTTAGTGAAAAATGTATCTAATTGGATTGTAAGCCCCAGTTGCGCCTCATGCAGACCTGAGAAGAGTCAAAATAAGATGTGACACTAACAAAGAAAAATTTAATAAGTTGACCATTAATAACTTACGTGTGATTTGAAAGTGTTATTATTAGTTAATGAAAATCAATTGTATAGATTTTATGGAAATATATGTCCCACATTATGAGAAAGGTAGTCAAAACAATTTTTGAGTTCAGCCATTTAAAAGATATGTGACTTCTAAGAAATAATACAATTGTTTAACAAAAAATGATATAAATGCGTAAATGATCAAAAAAATGATCAAAATGGTCACTAGATTTATTAGGTATGTTCACTTTAGCCCGTCTTTTTAAATTGCACATCATCAAATATGAGTTGATTTGATCATACCGTCAATTTTTCTATTTCTTTAGGCAAAAATATGTGTCAGCAACTTATTCATTATGACATTTTGATTTTTTAAAGACTAATCCCAACACTTAAAATGCTAAAAATAATGAGATTGGTGGTAAAAAGCTGGAAATTCTCTTATGAAAACCTTTCACCCATCAATTCCTAATGATAAAGTTGACAATATGACCAAAGTGAATTAAATTTAGTAAGTTGAAGAACTAAATTAGCACTTAAAAATCATAAACTAAAATGGACACACCTAGAAGGCATAGCAACTACAATGCTCGTTTAATTATTTACATATGCAAAACTTAGATGGCCTAATCCTTACAATGCAACTGAACTCTGGTAAGTCTAAGAGGTCCAACAAAAGAAGGTTCAACAACTTCTATCTTAACTCCAGAGATTACAGCAGCCAAATACATATTCAAAGAAGAATGTGTATAAATTATAACTTTAGTCCATTTGTCACCAACTAACTGTTCCTAAGACATGCCGATTCCATTTTTATATGACAAGTTAACCAATTGAATTCAATCATTGAAAAAACAGGGCAACTAGGTATCACCAACCCATCACCATTCTTCCATTTAACTTTTTGCATTAGCTTTTAGGTATGACCACTTTCACTTTGGACGCCCCGAGTCTTCGCCCCCAGACAAAACAACAATTAGAAGAAAAAAAAAGTAAGGCTTTTAATTAGAAAATGAATTAGAGGTTGCAAGCTTTTTATTTTTTTTTTACTTTATAGCATCTTTTCTCATCCTAAAAATTTGTAAGTATATCATGTGGAAAATAATACTTACAGCTGCGTGATGGCAAGCCCTGCTTCTGTACGATGGCAAGTAACTCCCTCCCAAGCATCCCATGTGGAAGGAGCACAGGGATCCCCGTTCCATCCCATTCTATCAGGTACCATGAGCGACTCTTTCAACGCCCTCATCGCATTTGCTAAGCCCCCATATACACAAATACATCAACAACCAAAAACTACCCGGTAAACCTTCACCTTTAAAACATGGAACTCACCTTGGCTAGGCAGACTCGGAAGATCCAAAGGCACCATAGCATAATTCTCAAGCCCGCATATAACAGGCTTCCCAACAACCGGAACAAGCTTCAAGCTAAGTGGCGAGGTGGTCAGATTCTTCGCAATATAATGCCAATCGAACGCTGCAAACCCTCCGACCGCCTTGAATATATCTATCCTCGCGACATTTTTCCCGTTGATATGGATATCAAAAACCCTTTTCCCAGGGGCATTGACACCGGAATCCAGTTCCGAGAAATGGAACCAAACCATGTAATCCAGCCTGGTGTCCACCTGGAGCAGGTACTCGAGACCTACACCTGCCTGCTCAACGGTGATGGCCGTGCGGTATAGCTGCGGTGGAAAATAATTTGGCGCGTGTGCCCCGCCGAGCACGTTGCGGCCGCCGGAAGATAGCGCTTTCACTTTAACTTTCGGGTCTCGGAAATCGGCGTCTGATTGCCACACGCGACCGAAAAGATCGGAGTGATTTGTAAACCCGGGACCGAATAATGCTGAACCACAAGAAAGACGGCCATAGTTAACCAGAACAAAGTCGGATCCAGCAGTGGCAGCATCATAGGCAAGCGGATCGATCTGGAAGATCTCGATTGAGGCAACGACGGGAGGATCTGTGGCAATGGAGTAAAAGCATAGGTCGGCGAATCCGTCGGTGGCCGCAAAAAACAGATCCGCGTATGCGCCGCTGCGCGCGACGGGTTCGGGCCAAGGGGAGCGCCAGGAGAAGACGAGGGTACCTTCAATTGATACATCAAACGATGGGTTCCGCATCTTGGAGTCGTAGTTATCGTATACAGTGAAAGTGCGAAGGTAGTAGCGTCCGGTGGGGACGGGGATGGAGTAGCAGCTCTTTTTGCCGAAGGAGTTTGGGGGGAAGAAACGGAGAGTGCGTTCTTGCGGTTGTGTGAAGTGCTGTGGTTCGGCTACAGTACCGACGGCCCCGCCGGTGAAGTAGCGGTCGGAAAGCCATGGACGTTTGAGGTTGGAAGTGAAGTTGGAGGTGCCACCGCAGTCGATGGAGTAGGAGAGGCCTGAGAAATAGAGAGAAGATTAGAAGTGGTAGGCAGGGAAACGAGAGGAGGAAACGAGCTTACCGTAACTGGTACGTGATGGGGAGGGCGGCGAGGGTGTGGATGCGATGAGGGGAGGGGTGTAGATGAAGAGGAGGAAGGGGAGAAGGGGTGACATTGAGGAGGGAGCTCAGAGCTCAGTGGTGAATGGTGACGGCCACTGCTGTATAATCTATAATAATTTTCCGGTTTAATTGAATTCCGTCGTTCGCGGGGTTTAGATCCCTCAATGTCAAAGTAAAGTTGACTTTATACGCTTAATTTGCGCATTTTATATCAATAAGTGCTAATATTTTTAGAACATAAAATTTACACTGATACCACTAATTTTTCTATATCTACATTTATAACACCTGAACTTTAATGTGTGTGTGTGTCTGTGTGTAAATAAAATAGTGGTCAAGTGAAGTTTCTAACCACTTACAGACGAGTTCAAACCCCATACACGAGGAGACTTAGAGCTTACTTTGCATATGTCAACCAATAAGCAAGTTTCTAACCACTTGACTTATCTGCACACAGACGAGTTCAAACCCCATACACGAGGGGACTTAGAGCTTACTTTGCATATGTCAACCAATAAGTCGGGGAATATATATATATTGGGTTTCGAGAGATTGTTCATTAACGAGCGAGGAAAGAATACCGTTTAGGAGTACGAGACTCAATTTGTCAAGATCGTCTGTTTCATTTATTTGATTAATCAACGTGAACATCAGAAGATCTACCACGTACTTGTTGGTTTGAGAGAGGACACTCGTAGGTGTCTATCGATTGTCGAGTGTATGATATATGGAGAGCTCGTGGATCAAGCTATTCATGCAAAAATTGAGGTAAATGTCTGTGAGAAAAGCATGATGGGAAGGGTAAGAATTCATGTACACAAGCTTATAGGAGTTCCCAAAAGAAACAACACCATAATCATCAGGGGTGGAAGTTAAAAACAATTATGTGAGGTGTTCATTGCGAGAAATGGCATTATAGAACCTGTAACTTGGTTTTCGACGAATGCTTCAATTTTTATAGTACTGACCATAAGGCTAAAGATTGTCCTCTCAAATTTCAAGGTCAGCTGCAAGCGAAATGCCTAGAAAAATAATTATAAGTGTCGTCACAAAAATAAATGATATAAGTCAAATGGAGGATACTTTCAAAAGCATCGTGAAATGAATCAAGCAAAGCATAATTATTTTCAGCCTCAACAACAGTCGTAGCAAGTCGTGGTGCTCCAACTGTATCAGCTCTGCCCTCATATATCACAATACCAACAATACCAAAAATCTCAGCAGCAGCCACTGACGTAGAAACACCCTTTAATGTAACAATCATAGCAATATCAAGCTCCTAAGCAAACCATTCAGGCAATACCACTATGAGTGTTTGTTATGACACATGAAGAAGCTCTTGAAGCTCTTGATGTGGTGACATGTATTATTATTATTTTAAAGTAGCCAACAAGGGTATTATTTGATTGTGTGGTAACCAGTTCATTCATATAAAAAAATTTTGCACTTGGTGCATTGATTTATTCATTATAGTCGTATCTATCAAATATTATGTTCGAGTGGTTCGAGAATTTGTTGATGTATTTCTTGAAGATTTTGTTAGTTTGCCACATGATTATGAGATTGAGTTTACTGTAGAACTATTTTAAGGGAGCACTCAAAATTTGAAAGCACCCTATCATATGACCACCATGGAACTCCAGGAACTCAAGATCCAGTTGTAGGAAATGCTTCATAAATTTTGACTGGTCTAGTGTTTCACCATGGGGAGCACCAGTTATGTTCGTGAGAAAGAAAGAAGAGAGCATGTGGTTATGCATCGACTATAAAGACTTGAATAAGGTGATCGTACAGGTACTCACTGCCTCGTATAGATGATTTGTTCAATCAACTATAAGGTTCTTTTATGTTCTCCGAGATCAACCTCGATCTGACTACCATAAATTGGAGATCAAGAATGAAGGTGTTTCAAAGACTGTTTGTTTGATCTGGATATGTGGACTATGAATTTCTAGTGTTGTCGTTTAGTTTGATTAATGCTCTTACTACTTTTATGGATCTGATGAAAATAATTTTTATGCCCTTCTTAGATTGATTCTTTATTGTCTTCCTTAACAATATTTTTGTCCACTCATAGACAGAGAGGAACACACACAATATCTCATGACAACATTGAATACTCTTCGAGAGAACAAACTTTATGGCAAATTCTCGAAATGTGAAATTTTGCTTCAAGAAGTGGCATTTTGGGAACAAATTATTAGTGGAGTTGGAATTTCTATGGTCCTACAAAGATCATGACAATAATGGAGTGGCAAAGACTGAGCATTGTTACCGAGCTTCATAATTTTCTTGGATTAGCTATATATTATCAAAGATTTGCTGAAGGTTTTTTCTCGCATTCCTGCACACCTATCGAGGTTGACTCAAAAGGCCAATAAGTTTGAATAGTTTGATGCTTTTGAGCAAAATTTCCAGAAACTCAATAATGGCTTAATAATGACTCCAATTCTTACCATTCCCTCAAACACATATGAATTTCATATCTATAGTGATGCTTCACATCAAGGATTCGGATGTGTCCAAATGCAGCATGGTAAACTTGTAGTTTATGCTTCTAGACAACTTGAGGTGCTTGAAAGAAATTATCCTACTGACAACTTGGACTTTATTGTGATATTTGCAGAAATTATTTAGAGTCACTACCTTTATGATATTCGTTATGAAGTCTTCACTAATCATAAGAGCTTAAAGTGCATTTTTACCCGAAAGAAGTTTAACATAAGATTAATACGATGGCTCGAGTTGATGGACTATGATATGGAGATTCGGTACCATATTGTTATGGTAATTGTGGTCGTAGATGTACTGAGCAAAAAATCTTTGACGAATTCAGCGTGAATAGTCATTCAGAAGCACGAGTTAGCATGGGAAAATACAGCGACTTCAGCTCTCACAGTAATAGTGGCAGAAGCTAATCTAGTCATGTATTAAATGTGAATTCAGCCTACACTTATGGATTGTGTTTGTGCAGCTCAAATGATGGATGTAGACTTACTACAACTTATAGAGCAAGCAAATAACTGATTGAAATTTTGATTTTATCATTGATCTATATGTCACTTTGATATTTCAGGATCGGTTGTGTGTTCCACGACATGAAGAACTTCGATATGAGATACTTCGTGAGGCACATTCTACTCCATATTCTGCTCTTTCGGAAAGTAAAAAGATAAATCAAAATCTTAAAAAACTATTTTTGTGGTCAAGTATGAAAACTGTTAGCTGTGTTTGTAGCAGAGTGTTTAACATATTCGATGGTTAAGGCCAAATATCAGAGACTTTTTGGTCTATTGCAGCTTCTTCACAACCATGGGCTTCATGATCAGCCTGTTAAGAATGAAGCAAGAATATGATGTTATTTGGGTTATGACAGATAGACCGAATCATCTCATTTTTTGCCAATCAAGCAGTCATATTTGGTGGATAAATTAGCCAAGATCTACAAGATTAATATTGTTCTACTATATGGAATTCCAACTGTCACTATATCAGATCAAGATGAAAGATTTACCTTCAGGATATGGAAACAAGTGCAATAAGTTGTGGCATGATAATGTACCTCGGTGCTATTTTTCATCATCGGATAAATGAATAGTTGAAGTTCATCATTCGAACCTCAGGAGACTTGCAGAGAGCTTGCATTTTAGACTTTGGAGGTAGCTAGGAGGACTAGATTTCGTTGGTAGAGTTTACTTATAATAATAACTCTGAGACTAGTGTAGGCATAGCGACATACAAAGTAATTTATAACAAAAAGTTTAGATGTCTCTTGCTTGGTTCGAGGTCGGTGAGATACAAATATTTAGACCTTTGCCATTGGATCAAGCTGCCGAAAAGGTTCGTCAAGTCGATATCAACTACAGGCAGCCCAGGGTCATCAGAAGCAGTACTTCGACCCAAAGTATAAAGAGGTTGAATTCACTGTCAGCGATCATGTTTTATGAAGGTTTTATATATGAGCTGAGTTACACGAATTGACAAGATTGAAAAGCTTTAGCTTCATTTCATTGGTATTTTTGAGTTGTTCGAGAAAGTTGATAGAGTTACATTCTATTTGGCTTTTCCTCTGAGAATTGCAGGAGCACACAATGTCTTTCACATATGTATATTGCGGTGTTATGTGCATGAAGACTCTCATATTATATGGTACAAGCCATCGGTGATTTGAGGAGACCTAAGATATGAGGAAGTACTGTATCACATCTCTAAAAGTGAAGTTTAACAACTCCGCTGCCTATCATTTCTTTTAGTTAGAGCACTCTAAAAGAACCAAACATAACTAAAAGCAACTAGATAGATTGAAGAAGAGACGAATGCAAAGCACCCACAGTTGTTTCACAACTAAGGTACGAATTTGGGTAGATAGGGTAGTATGTAAGAGCTGAAATTTCTCATTTCATCCTGATATCATGTGATTTTCTTCTCATTTCATTTTTTCATTGCCTTCTCAATTCAAACTCTCGTGATTTTTTTTTCTCTATTCATTATTTATTCCTTCGCAATTTGATCGATCGCCACCTCTCGCACCTATTTAGAAGAATCAACGCCTTATCTTTGAATGAAGACCTCGCCTCTCCCTCATCTCTCAAGTCCACCAAAACATGTTAAAAATGTAAATTTCAAAGTTTAGATACACAAATATATAAATAATGTATGATACATTTGTAAATGTTTTAACAAATAAAATTGAGTAAGAACTAACCAGGAACACCAAAAGCCTTCCATCTCCCACGCGTGCCTAGATATCACAAGCCGCGGAGCCATGGGACAGGGAACCCCCGGTGGACTGCACAAGCATGGCCTCCCCGGCGATCGGAAGCACGACGGCGACAAGAAGGACAAGAAGTTCGAGCCGGCGGCGCCGCCGTCGCGTGTCGGACGCAAGCAGCGGAGGCAGAAGGGCCCTGAGGCCGCTGCGCGACTACCGACTGTGACGCCACTGACGAAGTGCAAGCTCCGACTCCTCAAGCTGGATCGAATCAAGGACTATCTCCTGATGGAGGAGGAGTTTGTTAGTAACCAGGAGCGCCTAAAGCCACACGAGGACAAGAATGAAGAGGATCGATCAAAGGTCGACGACCTTCGCGGATCTCCTATGAGCGTTGGGAATCTTGAAGAGCTTATTGACGAGAACCATGCCATAGTCTCCTCTTCGGTTGGACCCGAGTACTACGTGAGCATTCTGTCGTTCGTGGACAAGGATCAGCTGGAGCCGGGGTGCGCGATTCTTATGCACAACAAGGTAAGTGCCTTGTCCTGCTGGTTTAGGTATTTGGTCGGGAAATGACTGGAATCTTCATATGTATTAGAATTGCAGCTTATGGGATGATGGCGATCTTTAATGATTAAGTTATTAGGGCTTATGCTGTCATGTAAATTGTCAAATTTTCTAACCGTTTATATAGAACTTTTTTACATTGATGCATGCATGTAATTGAATTAAACCTTGGTGAATAAAGTAGGAATGTCTGCAAAAAGAATATATGCAGATAATAATGATAACAACAATCAATTGTACTGGCAATGCTGTACATGTCCGATTGTTAGGTAACGAGTCATTGGAGGCTATGCTTAGTATAGAAATGAAGAAGTGGTGAGATTGGTCTGTTGGAAAGCTTTGAAGATATATTAAGAAATGATTTAATTTGAGAAATAATGACAGTGACACCTCTTGATGAAAGATTAGTCGAAAATGGACTCAACTGGTTTTGCAGCTTGTAATCAAAGATTGAAGTTTTATCATTAAGTGGATTAATGGGGTAATTGTGCATGTAGCAAGTAGAAAACTGTAGAACAAATGCTGCATAACTAAAAGGTGAAGCAAAATTTGTGTGATTTACAGCAAACACGCAATATGCTAATCAATAATAATGTATGGAGAAGGGATCATAAGTTGCATGTAATTGGCTAAGGTTCTACTCGTAAGATTTTTATAATTTTGAGAACTATTCAAAGTAGTAAATTATCTTTGTGGATATTTTTTTGATGGTTGATGCTGTGATTTGGGTGTCAGATTATTTGATTTGGAATCGTCATTAAGATCGAGACTGATACTCCACAGACAATTATAAAAGACACGGACAAAAAAATATAATACACATATCACCAAGATTTACGTGGTTCATCTTCGGCCAAATATACTTTCTTGGATGAGGAGAGATGATCTAATATACTAGAAAACAAAGGCTGCAATTGTAGCATACAATAATGATAAAACCATCACAATCCTTGTTACTTCTAAAGTATGCCCGCAGATGAACACAAGAAGAAGAGAACACCAAAAATCTCATACAAAGAGCTTATCTCACATAGAAGCCTTTTTCTACTCACATATATCTCCGAAGCCACCAATTTCCTACAAACACTATAACCAAGAGTGTATGTGAGGAGCAAGAGAAATTTCCAATATATATATATTTTTGATGAGTTGAGGCGCACCAACAGCTGCTAAATTGGATGTGCGTTTTTTCACACCACATAATTTCCTTACGAAACTATTCCCAACTCAAATCCCATACAATCACATCAACACATTTTTGAAGCCTTAGTGATAATGATGCACAATTGAAACTATCAATAATATGAAATGTAAAATCTATAATTATTATGACTACTTAAACAACTTAGTGCGCAACTTTAGAAACAGGATATGCAAATTGTTTTACACAAATCTAAAGGAGTGTCTATATGATTAATCTCAATCTAACAATTACACTCATTTTCATCTAAACACCACTTATAGTCTTAATTAATTCTACAAGTGATACCACACAAAATAACTATTGTGTATATATGACTAAACTAGATAAGGGTGTTATTATAAGGCATAATGTTATTGTTCACGTCAACTTCACTAATTAATGCAATTAAACTATTTACACCAATCATTTAACTAATGGTTGCAACTATTGAGATAATGTTGATGTGTCATAGGTCAAGCCAACGTGAGAGTAAATTATGAGCATAATGGCACAAGATAATTTCACCGCATAAGCTTTGTATGATTAATAAAGTTGACACCAGATCACTAGTGCTCAAATAGAAGTTAATATGGTGATTATTATTTAATCATGCTAGGTGTGAGAGTAATGATCTAATTGACACAATAATGATGAATTTTTTATATCACAGTTGCATATGATATTATCACCACATAAACATTAAAGAACAAGTAAAGAAATGAATATCCACACAAATTAAATCTAGTTTATAGAATGATATGAGAGACGATGATATTTATGTAGTTCAACCAAATGGCCCACCTATATGCCCAATCCCATCCAAACGAGGATTCCGTTATCCACCCTTGTTATCACAAGCTCTCTCCATTGCTCCTCGTAGGTCGATAAATCTTCACAGTCTCTTCTTGTATGAAGTGTACTTGCATCTTTGTTACGGTTAAGGGCATAATCACTAAACCAACACTCAACGAAGTATAGAAAAATCTTCGTACGAAGTCTTCCAAAACTTGGTGATGGATAAGGCTATAACCTTTTAATACTATGTATTGCAAATGATATTAAGTTAATATAAATGCAAAGCTACAAGATTTGAACTTCACTCTAAACTGGTACTCAAAGGATATTGATGATGAGTGATATACGGTTGCTTTAACTTGAGAAAATGTAATTTCTTAGCCCAAAACATTCTTTCTATTTATGGAAAAATAATAGTGAAAATAATCAATCATAGAGTAGAAGTATATTGGTACTTATGGAGTTCATTATGATATGATAAATATTCCAATCAACAAATCTTGAGTGACCAAGTTTAACTACAATATTTTCTGCAATGATTATAATAGATTAGCCATCTCAACAATAAGTTATATACGAAACAAATAATATATTGAAAATCGTTATAAATTTATTTTTAGTCAAAACTTTGTTGTATAATATATAAAATCATATTAAAAAAAAACTCAATGAATTCGAGTTTAGCTCGAATTCATTAATTGTAACACTGAGTTATGTAGGCCTTTGTTACTTCTTATTTTGGACACTTATGGTCTTATCCCGCCGCTTATTGTTTAGGCGGGCCTATTACACTTGCCTTTTGTACTTGGTCCCCCACACTGCTTATGCTCATTGGCAAATTTTCCAATTTTCTATTGAAATTTATGAAAACATTTGGCATTCCTCTTCTATGTTTTGAAACCAGCTAATTTCAATAGATTTATATATTATATATAATTTGTTTAGTTTCATATTTTTTCTCCATTAAAAATCATTTATAGAGCCCCAAGGAATACAAAAAAATATTGAGCATTGAATATCAAATTTGAAATAGGATTTCAATTTTCCTCTCTACTTGGGTGTCTTTGTTTTATGCTTGCCTTTGAGTTCTGCACATTTGCGTCAATACCTTTTGTGAGAGGCTCCTTGTACCCGTGTGAGATCAAATTCTTCATTTTGAATGATTTTTTTCCATATCTTTGTCGTTTAATTTATGTAATTGTTGATTTTATATGGTGATTTGGATTTTGTCAAGAAAGATATGTGCTTGGTTTTTATTTGAGATGTAAAATTGATAGTTGCTGAATTTTTATTTTTTCTGCTGTTTTCTTTGTGGAATTTCAAATTTAGTTGATTGTTAAACTATCTCTTAAAATGAACAAATCATGTGTCTTTTTTCTTTTTTTGGCATTTTGTGTTCATTTCGTTTCACATCCTAGGTTGTATTAGGAAATCTAAACCCTCACAAGTCATGCCTTGCTGTCTTCCTTTTTTTTCCCCAGTCGTGCTTTTTTGGAATGTGTTTTGTGCTATTAATCTTTCATCCTTTTAATGTGAAATATTGAGATGTTTTTTGTTACAATATATCTTATTTGTTGGTATTATTTGCTTTGAACATTTCTAGGTTCTATCTGTTGTTGGGCTCCTCCAGGATGAAGTTGATCCTATGGTTTCTGTGATGAAAGTAGAAAAAGCTCCATTGGAGTCTTATGCTGATATTGGTGGCCTTGATGCTCAAATTCAAGAAATTAAAGAAGCAGTTGAACTTCCTCTAACCCACCCTGAGCTATATGAAGACATTGGCATCAAGCCACCCAAGGGAGTCATACTCTATGGAGAACCCGGTACCGGGAAAACTTTACTTGCCAAAGTAAAATCTTTGCTACACTTCCACCATTTTTTATGCTTGTCAAGTATTTTTGAAGCTAATTCCATCTACATGTGTTTTTCCATAAAGCTGATATAATTTTAGGATTTCTTTTCTATTAATTTGTCAAAACTCTGCATTTTGGCAAATGCCAAACCTTTGAAGGATGGTTAGGTTTAGAGGCTCCTGCTGATAGGTTTCTAATGTGGTGCTATTTGAAATAGATGAACATACATTTGATCATTCATAATTGGAGATGATATTGATATTTTATTTAATAGCTTGTGCAAATCTTTACAAGTTGGGCATGTATTATGATTATAAAATAAAATGCAAAATGCCTTAGTAAAAATGAATATCATCACATGTTGCACTGTTTTCTCTTTTGCAACTGAATGAAATTTGATGAATCCATTAAGATGCCTCCTTTTCATAAGAAAGTATAAATTCCAGTTTATGTATAACTAAGGTGAAGGTTTTGTGTATCTTCACAAGGCAGAGTTTAATTTTTTGTAATGGTTTGCAGTCGTCTAAGTATCTTATCTTCAAATTTAGCTTTATTCCAACTTCTCTAATAGCTGAGACAAGGCTAATTATGATGGTCATGGTATTGTTTATGCTATAACTTTATTGTCTGCAATAATACACATGTTTATGCTCAGTTTCTTCTATTCTGGGATTTATATTTCATTGTGCTTGGGGGACAGAAAATTTTTCCAATATCTCCTGTACAGAGAACCATGCCATGTGAGAATACAGATCTCATCTGAGCTGAATAGTGATGTGAGATACTCTTTCTTGTAAGAAGTTAAGAAGTGTACTTTGAAGATTTTTTTTCTTACTCTAATTTTTCTATGTTTTGAACATTTTGATATCTGGGTAATTTTCTATTCTCCATTTTTTTAAAAAAATATATAGATTAATCCTTCTCTGAGTGTCTGCACAGATATTCGTACCTCTTCATTATACATAAATTTTACATTTTGATTCACGTAAGCTCTAATTGACAGTTTTGAATGAGAACTTAAACTTCATAGTTTCTGTATCGTTTAAGAATTTCTTTTCACAGCGTCTGAACATTAGTTCAATATTTTAATGATCTAATAGAACATGTTCTGATTATTTGGGAGGATTTGGTAAAGAAAACTGTGGTTTTTTTCCAGGCTGTGGCTAATTCAACTTCTGCAACATTCTTGCGTGTTGTTGGAAGTGAATTAATTCAGAAGTACTTGGGCGATGGCCCAAAATTAGTGAGGGAACTCTTTAGAGTAGCTGATGATCTTTCTCCATCAATAGTGTTTATTGATGAGATAGATGCAGTTGGAACTAAAAGGTATTTGCAAGAAATTCTCTAGAATGGTAAACAATGTTAATCAGTTATTGTATTAGTCTATAATATGCTTAACCTGTCTGGATTTTGTTTAGATATGATGCTCATTCTGGAGGAGAACGAGAGATACAACGTACAATGTTGGAATTGCTGAATCAATTAGATGGCTTTGACTCAAGGGGTGATGTTAAAGTAATTCTTGCCACAAACAGAATTGAAAGTCTGGATCCAGCCTTGCTTCGGCCTGGACGCATTGATAGAAAGATCGAGTTTCCTCTTCCTGATATCAAGACACGGCGGCGTATATTTCAGGTACAAGTGGCTGGTTTTGTTATTTTGCTCAAGGCCTACAAATATTTTATTTATTTATTTCCCCGAATGAAGATTAAGAAAAGGCTTACATATGTTCATAGATCAATTGGAAGATTAAAATTACTTTAATAGAAAACTGCTCGTCATTTTCCGGTAAAAAGGATATTTTTCCACGTACAGGAACTCTCATGACTTCTACCACTGCAAGTTTTTGTATGCTCATGCATTTATATTGCGACAGGACTGCTTCTATGCCAACTCACAGACTAGCGAATGCCTTTTAAAAACATTTTCTTGCAGATCCTTTTATTTATGCTTGGTAATTTTTATTTTTGTTTTTATTTTGCAGATACATACTTCCAGGATGACACTAGCTGATGATGTAAATTTGGAAGAATTCGTGATGACAAAGGATGAATTTTCTGGAGCTGATATAAAAGCCATATGCACGGAAGCTGGTTTGCTTGCTTTGCGGGAGCGGAGAATGAAGGTATGGTCATAATTTAGACACTTGATGGCATAGTTTTGTTAAAACCTTTTCTATTCATCTCTAAAGTTACTTGGAGTTTCTCATTTTGAGAAATTATATTTAATCTTGTATTCCCTAAAAAATTGTCTTCTGTTATATATTGGATATTTATGCAAATGCTTTTACTGTTATTTCTAAAGTTAGGCATGTGTGAAACTCCTTCCTTTATGAGGAAAAATTACTTTTGTTTGTTCATTTTATGGGGTTTATTTGCCACCCAAAATGTGTGAGCTTGTAAGTACTTAAATGTTTTCTTTTTTAGTTTAATTTTCTTTCTTTCCATGCCATCTGCTTGGACATTTGATGTTGATTTCCATGTTAATTGGTGCATGCTTCAGGTAACTCATGCAGACTTTAAGAAGGCAAAGGAGAAAGTGATGTTTAAGAAGAAGGAGGGCGTGCCGGAGGGGCTCTATATGTGATAATACTGTGTTTTGCTTTGGAATGACCTCCAGTAAGTACTTATTTTATTTGTTCCATAAATCCATTTTATTGGCAGTTAATTGTTTTTATTGTTTTTCGATTGCTATATTGCACAAGAATTTATTTTTTCTTCACTGTTATATTTATTATCATTCGTAATTTTTTTCAAATTATTTTTAGCTTTGGTCCTCATTCCGAGCATGCATATCTTTTGACAACCTATTTGACATTTTCTTGATATTAAGCTGATTGATATGAATTTTCGAGGCATGATTCAGGGCTAAAAATAATGAAAATGCAGATGTGGTGGTGTTTTTTTGGAATGAATTTTAGGAGGAGGAAGAAAATAAATGAGAAGTGGTTACTATTCCATAAGGGTGTGTGTTTGTAGGGCTGTTTAGTTCACATTCGTCTCATAAGCTTAGACTTTGCCGTGCACATTGGTCCGTATTGGGTCTTTTCTAGGTTTGGTCATTGCAATTCCACGTACTGGATGATTTGGATATAGGCCTCCCTGATTAGGGCCATGCTTTAATCACACACTCCCCCCCATTCGGTGGATCTGGCACACATGCTAATCCCAAGTGAATTCCTTGCTTATTGGCTTGGTTGAACCTGACATGGACATTAGGCTTGATTCACGCATAACCATTGAAGACCGTGTTTGTGGAGCATGCGTTGTCAATCCCATTTCAATTACTGGGGGAGAAGAAACGAAGAACCAAAGAAGTGGGAACAAGGAGTCGGGACACTGAGCAGAGAGGGAGAGAAAATGAATAGAGTGGAGAGGAAATGAAGGGGGTTGGAAGCTGAAGAGGTAAGTTTGCCCTATAAAATGCCATATGAGGGAGGCGAGAACTTACTAGACCTAAGAGTGCAAACTAAGGTTTTCCTCTTTGCTGAAGAAGAAAGGGAAGAGGGTGGTGACGTGGAAGGTCGAGCGAAGCGGTGTGAGGAAGAAGGCACGTACGGAGAGCCAAAGTCGCGTGCGTTTGAAGTTCGATCGAAGGAGGAGCCCTTGTACGAGGTAGGCAGCATGCAGATCCCACATGCAGAGGGGTTTAGTGCGAAGGAGAAGCAACACACAGAGGATGCATGATTGTGTGGGGGAAGTAGAATTTTTTTCATTCGCGTGGTTTATGGGTCAACCAAATCTTTAATGGTAAAAGTTAATAATTTTATAAGATACATACATATATATATATATACATACATATATATATATACA